GTTTTTGGCGCGCCCAACTCTCGCTCAAAATTAGGAAAAATTGTCCTTCAAAGCAGTTTTTCTGTAGAATTTTTGACTTTAACAGTATACCAGTATAACTGCAGTTCTAGGCTTTCATACTGTATATTATTTTCAAGAGAATTCCAAATTTGGACGGGAACTCGCGTTTCAAAGGGAAGGAGGGCAAAACCTTTAAAAGTTTGTCCAAGAGAATTTCCGGTACACTTCAAACCCTTCCCATATCTGAAGGCTATGAGAAGACGAAGAAGTCCTGATCAGTGATTAATCTTGTCGTGCTTGAGTTTTTTAAAGTGGGGCATGGCAGCAGAATTTGAAGTCTTGCTGTAGTGAGGGGGGGGGAAGATGGGGTCCCTTCTTACAGGCTTTGACAATTCAGGTGTGAAACAATAGAAAATGCATAGAGAGATATGTTCTCTTTGCCGGTGGCAACCTTTACATGTGGTGGCACAGGAGAATCGTGTTGAGACCTCCCTAGGAGGGGATGGGAATTCGTAAAAATTGAGCCGAAATGATCGTGAAATTTTTGACATTTTTCTTATGTCACTACTTCTGTTTCTCACAGTCTTAAGAGCCGTTTGTTTTCAGACTGCTAGTCCGACACTATTTATGTATGCACCGGTAGGATTTATGTTCACAATGTTGTTCAGCGGAACGAGAAGTACGGTGGCCATGACCACAATCGCTGCAACACTCCTCTCAATTTTTCCATTGATCGATCCCATTATTCCTATCGTATTCCTCAGAGAATATCGTGCATTTATTCTTGACAGCTTATACAGTATATCGCCTGTTCGAACAGTTGCTCAACGAACAGTTTTCTCATGATGGGCCACGTATTAGTATATCTGCGTTCAAGGAATGCCGATTCACATAAACTGGATGTGAACTGCTAACATTGTCATTGTATTCATATATATCATCATTGTATTCTTAAAGACACCTGCCACAAAAATGGACTTCTTTGTGGGGGAGATGCCGAGTGGGGAAGGAAGCGACTCGTCCAGTGGTGCGGGAACAGGAGCTCCGGCGGCACACGGCTCATTATCAAAGGCGTGAATACTGCCGAGAAGGTATCTCAAAGCTTACTGGATATCCTGTTCCGCCCACTGAGGATTCAGAGATCATAACAGCAGCATCTATGATATTATATCGTTATCTTTGTGGCTCGATTTTATCTCAACTTGCTTTTCATATCGTATAGCAAGACCTTGTAATCCCATGTGAGGTCTTCCATAGGAGTACATGTGTTCAAACGAACCTTACCTTCAAAGGCAGCGGTCAGGTGATTGGAGGTGGTGTGGTTGGAATGATCATTAGACCATGCCAATAGGTTGGCGAGTCGAGCTGCGAGTTTGCTGGATCGATCTACCCCATGAATCGAACTTCACAGCGAATCAACTTGCCCCGCAATCGACCGATAGCACCAGCAGACGAACTATGTACCTGCGACTCAATTAGCTGGGGCCACGTTCAAATTAAGCCCGGTCACTTTCAAACAGGCTCACTGCAAGTCTTTTGCGCACTTTCAGAAGGGTCTTGTGAACACTAGTTAAGGACTACGGCTTCTTTTTGCAATCTTTGGTCCGCGCTATTGCAGGTCGCAGGTACATCGTTGGACTCGCTGGTACATAGGCGGATTCGCTAGCGATTCGCTCGATTCGCAAACTATGACGTCGGCCTAAGGGTCCATTGGTGGATCAGACCTCCCAGCGTGCTGGGGCAGGGACGTGGTTAGTATCACCCCCTAACGCCCTCCCGCCAATAACATTCAATGACGTCATCAAACTGCATCGCCCTCCTCCCATCCACCGTGATCACTGCTTTGAAAGTTGAGTTCCTGATATTTCCTGTGCGTCTCATTGACAGCTCTTCCGCACCTTCCACTTTATGAATTCGAATTCAGTGGCACCATTATGTAGCGGTCAGAGCTTTTGGAAATGTGTCATGGAACATGCAGGAATTTCGCTTGTTTGAGTTCTTATGCAAAGACCTGGAGCGTGATCGTGAAATTTTGTTTATGGTTGTAATAAGGCTCAAATTTCACTCTGTTATTTTTAGGTTTCTGTTGTTATCTCGCAATAAAACTATTTGCACATGTTCGCTTGCACTGGAAACTTGGTATCAAACTCATAGAACATCCACAGGCCTGAAGCCCTAAAATCTTGCCCAAAAAAATATTGTCGAAACTCGTAAGGGTACTCTGATACGATTATACGGTTATACGATGGCGATAGAGCAAAACCTTTTTTCTATGCACATTTACGTTTTAGGTGTAATGCTTTCTCAATCGCGAACATGACAAGCATTTTTGGTGCGCGGGCACCAACCATCTGTGGTAGCTTAGGCACGCTATTTGTACTTTGCCTTCGAGAACCAAAGAGCTTCTCTAATCTGCTTAACAAACACGTTCTCTTTAGGGTCTTATGCAGTTTCACTCAATAATTTTAGCTAAGCTGTTAAGATAAACCAAAACCATTCAGGCTTGATCACGTGATTCTTCTGTACACTACCTTTTCTGTGCATTGACATAAATATAAGTAAAAAAACAGACGTGGCAGACCCACAACACAAGCGCGCGCCTTACAATGCGAATGTTTTGCCAGTTTGAGTGATTAGCCGAATTGCAATTATGTTCTGTTCCTTGTTACGGATCAACTCTCAATATCTCTCTGTTGTTCAATTTACCACTATACGTTCAATATGCACCACAAAGTATCAGATTTACTTGAAGGTCGCCGTCACTTGTGTTGTGTTGACTGCACTCAACGCGCACCTGATCCTCAGAAGCAGAAGGTGCGTGAAAATGGCGCCGATGAGCTCCTGCGCCAAAAAACATTACGATGGATGTCATTATTGAGCACACAATTACCTTCCATGACGGGGTTTGGACAGATTTTTTTTGACCTCTTTGGGGTTTCACTGGGGCACGACCCTGGGTTGTGAAATTTGAAAAGTGCCAGGAATTCCTAGAAGGCGAGTATCTATCGCGATGACATGAGAATTGCAACGCGTGTCTACAAACATATAAAGAAGTAGAAAATACATTAAAAAATAGGAAAAACTGAACTGGCTACTTTTCTGAACAATCAAGCCGTCAACGTCCCCTCGGGTTACAGTTACTGGGCGGTGGACTGGGCGGTGGTCAACCAGTGCGTGAGAGCCCAGACAGAAAAGCACATACTTTGTCTTTTCTAGGACTAAGCCTTTTGAAGGAGGAAAGAAAGCAGAGATGCTGTAATAGTGTGCATATGCGAGAGTGCCCAGAGAACACTACAAAACGCTGAATCACCAAGCCTTCCGGTTGACCGCTGCCCTTGGACGCGGGTTACGGGAAACGAAGTGTAGCATTAACTCGAGATTTCTTGACTTATTCTTCGCCCTTTAAGATCGTTAGGATGATGGTAGTGGCGCTGGTGCCACTCCACCATTGCAACTGATCCGCCTGCTACAGTAATCATGCCACTTTGTAAAATAGTTGGCTCGGAGAGTTGCTCGAGAGCAGTTCAACCCAAGGAACACATGTCAGATTTGTTGATGCGAGGGCATGGCACTTCACTGGGTCGTAAATACAGATTCAAATCCACTATAAGTCTGCCCTGAAAGGTGATGTGTTTTCCACTCATTAGACACTTGTCTGGGCAAACCTGATAACGCGCGCTATGAACGCCACTATGGGCTGCTTCCACGCTGTACGATCATTCCGAAGTCCGGTGTCATTGAAACCCAATCACTAACAACTAGAGCTCCTTCTAAGGTTTAT